CACCAATTAACCAATTTTGACCATAATTTCAATTTTGACCCCAATTTTGACCACCGGTCAGCCGCCAGAGACCGCATGTCTCCGGCGTTGGCTTTTTCTTTTATGAATTTTTTTACCGGCCGGTCAACCGCCGTTGACCGTCGGGTCTCCAGTGTTGATTTTTTTTTGTGTGTGTGATTTTTTTTTAATTTTCTGTTTTCTTAAAAAAAATATTTTAATTAATATTATTATCTTGGCTGCTAAATTACTGTCTCCAACAGTTATTTAACTGTCGGAGACAGTAATTTAACTGTTAATTAACCTTTTTTTTCTTAAAAAAATATTTTAATTAATATTACTGTCTTGGCTGCTAAATTATTGTCTCCAGCAGTTATTTAACTGTCGGAGACATTAACTTAACGTTAATTGACTTTTTTTTTAAATATTTTAATTAATATTACTGTTTTGGCAGCTAAATTATTGTCTCCAACAGTTGTTTAACTGTTGGAGACAGTAATATAACTGTCTGAGACAGTAATATTAGTGTCTTCGACTGTAATATTACTGTCTCATGCAATAATATTACCGTCTCATGCAATAATATTACTGTGTGGGACAGTAATATTAGTAATATTATTGTTCGGGAAAATAATATTGATAATATTACTGTCCCAAACAGTAATATTACTGTGTGAGACAGTATGTTAGTAGCCAAGAAAGTAATATTAATTAAAATATTTTTTTCTAAGAAAAAACAAAATTTTAAAAAAAATAAAAATAAATAAATAAATAAAGTCAACTCCGGAGACCGGTCGGAAAAAACATTCAAAAAAAGAAGTTTTCAAAAAAAAGAAAGAAAAAAGTCAAAGTCGGAATCTGGCCGGAAAAAAAAATTCAGAAAAAAATTATTTTCTGAAAAAAAATTCATAAAATTATAAAACGATGGTTAATGTGATATATTTGTTTAAATTCGGGGTCAATGTGTAATATTAAGGAAGTTAGAGTATAATGGATGGGATTAATAAAAATTATATTATGGAAGATATTTTAGACTAAAAACATGGGATGGGTTTATTTGAAAGACTATTTTTTTTTTTTGACCAATGTGTATTGGAATAATTAGCAATAACCCCCTCATCTAGGAAATTTAGTTAAGAAAACACCCCCTCCTAAAAATAATTAGAGAAAACCCCCTTAGGTATATTTCTAGTAAAATGAATCTTTAATAATCCCTAAACTACCCTTATTTAGTTTTAATAACTTAATTCATAACCCTACTCCTTTCTCTCGTCTTTTATTCTTCTCTCCATCCAAATCTCACCATATTCTCTGCACTCCGCTGCTCCGCCGCCTCCACCGATATGATGCGCACTTCCTCGTCGGCCTTCATGATATTCTTAATACATGGCTTAGGTGGATATTCTGTGATAATCCTTTCCTTCCTTCATGCTCTGTTGCTGGAGGAGATGGTGGTACGGCGGCTTAAGGGATATGCCGCCGCCTGAGGCGGAGTAGCCGCTCCTTGGGGCTGGTTGTTTTGTACCATCAATTTTTTTGCAGAAGCTATTTTGTTACAAATAAAAATTGGAAAAGACAAAAGATCGTGAATATTTATGGGGAGTGAAAAATGCCCAGGTATGAGTGCAATGTACAATTTAGGGAGGGTAAGGTACAACGCGGTGATGCAAGCATGGAATATAGTGTTTTAGAGAAGTTGATATAGTGTGGTGATGGTACAAATAATTTGGGTTTGATTCGAAAATTCCAGCCAATGATTATTGGCCAACGGAGGGCAGATTATGGATTTTTAGTATAATTTCACTGCAAATTTTTTGATGTGTGGTTTTGTTTTGGTGGTTTTTGCCTGAGCTGGTGGTGTAGAGAAATTCGCGCAGGTTGAAACCTTAATTGACTATGTACATACTCAATAGTCGATTAAGCTAATCGACTATGCTCTGAAAGTCGATTAAGGTTGATCGACTCCAATTTTTTATTTTTATTTTGGATTTTTTGTTTATTGATTCCAAGTGTATAAATCAATTATAATGTTTGTATATTTTTTGTTTTTTGTAAAATATAGTTGATTTTGCATTTTTTTGCAATTGTGATTTGTTATGTTTAGTAGCAGATTCTTAATCGACTATGCTTCATCATAGTCGATTAATATACCTGATGTAGAAAAAAAATTTTAAAAAAAATTAAAAAAAATTAAAAAATTTCCTTAATCGACTATGAATCATAGTCGATTAAGGCTAATCGACTATGCTCCATAGTCGATTAAGGAAACTGGTACAGAAAAGAAGGGAAAAAAAAAAGCGGAAAAAAAAAACGAAAAAAAAAATATTGTTGAGCGCGTGACCCAGCTGTGATGATGTGGCGGGTGGGGGCAAAGCTGGAAAATATGATGGCTCAAAATGGGTGTTGGTTTTTCTCAAATGGACTGAAATATTTTGGACTTCTCTCCATTAAAAAAAGTAATGAGGGGGTTTTCTCAAAGAGCCCCATGTGTATTTAAGTCCCTTGTCCATTTTTTCTATTTGGAATATTAAAAAAAAATTAAGGAAAAGATGGGTAATGTTATTAGGCGATATCCTTTAATTCATAAAATAAAACATTCAATACAATACATGCATGCCTATTGTTCCTCACGATTAAATGAGTCAATCAATTAGCAGATTGTTTAACGAAATTGAACTGACAACTCTTAAACGCCTAGCAATGAAAGACTACCTACCTTCAATTGTTACGAAGCTACACACAAAATGGCAGAAAAGATCTCACATGCAGAAAATGTCACATCAGTACTTACCTTCATCACTCGTTTCACTAGTAGAATCAGAATTTTAAGTTCGTGTCTAATGTATTAACAAAATCCTAAGGAAGGATGTTAATAGTTGTTCTTCACGGTTTTTTTTTATATATATATATTTCTATATATAAAATAATAGGAATTTGAGAAATATTAGAGGGCATGGCCTCCACTGACTAGGCTGGCTCCGCCACTGCTCATTTGTCTTGCGGTTTCCATGCTCATAGGCGCCCTTGATTGCAGACCAAATGGTAGTTGGTTATGTGAAATTCTCCGGATGATTCTTTCTCCAACTCAAAATATCTCCGGTTCCCATATACGCTAAAATGGAATTAGTAATACCGTAATTGCGACACTATCAAAAGTTGTCACTAAATATATATATATATATATTAAATGGTAACCTACATTTTTAGGTTTTCACTAATCAACAACGCATTTTATGGTCACTTAATTACTTTTTATTTTCACTAATAGAAGTGACAATCTTTTTTTATTGTCAGTTTGTCAATATATGACATTGATGATACTCCACTAGTTACAACCATAGTGACAACATTTTTTGCCTAATTATGTGAAAATTAGTGTTATCATTCAAAAGATTATTTCTTGTTATGTTTCCACTTGAAGAAATTTACAGGCAACTCAGAAAAACGTTAGATGAATAAATCATAAATAAACAAATATGAATAAAAAAGAAAGATTGAAAGATGATATAGAATAAAACACAGCTCAGTCTTCCAAACCGATTCACACCAGAGATTCACAGAGATCTCAAGGCTTACACATACACATACTAAGATTGCACCAACAAATAACAGATCTCTCACACTCTCACTCTCTCTCTAACCCTAACCCACTCAGATCAGAGGTAAGACCAAGAAAACGAGGCACTCAGCAACTCACCCACTCACCACAGAGCCAACTCACAGAAGAGATGGATCAGGTTTTTGAAATTAGGGCTTTTCTCTAGGTCTTACCTTCTGTCACTTCAATCCCCACATTACATAGGTGCTTCAGTCAAAGGTAACCGTTGAAGGGACCACCACTGGGACAAGCACGGCCAAGGACGGCGGCGTTTGGCCCATGGTTGCTGGAGAAAAAGGAGTAAAGAGCAGAAGGGGACAAAGGGGTAGAACAAAGGATATCTAGGGCACAAAACAGGAAAGAGAAAGTACAAGGGGAGAGGGAGAGTCAGAAAGAGTCAATGGCTAGGATGAGTTGGATGAACCCAACGGCTCAGGTTCATCCCTCCAGTGACTTCCCACAATTAGGCTTAAGTATCTGATGTGCCATTCTCTAGTAATGCATGTGTGTGTAAGTAACATAGAGATTTGGGCTACAAGCCCAAACACATTGGGCCACAACTGTAACATTTCTTATAGTGAGATTCTTCCGCGCACATTTCTTGAATTCCTTTTTTCCCATATTTCTTCCACCGCCAAGCTAAAGGACTCCGCATCGAGGTATTGTTGCAGAACAATCACCCATTGCCAAATCGAGAGAGACCAATTCATTGGCACTTTCAAACCCCCACAATCAGTTATCACACTTAAACACGATTCATGGGAATGCAGCTCCACCATGCGACATGTAGGAACGGCTGCAATTTTCCGTCTACATAATTCTTCGCTTGCGGGCGATATCTTAGATTTTAAATTTTCAAAACAGAAGAAGGAAATTTTTCGAAATCGATCTCGTAGATGCCACAATAGGTAAAATACACAATGTAGTATGTGTGTATGTGTGTGTGTGTGTGACAGTGTGTGAGTGTTATCTTATCCAATAAAGTTAATTGGATGTAATATTAAACAACTTGCAAAAATATATATGTTTATGTTGCGTTGAACTGGTGAAAAAGAGTTAAAGAGGACGACAAATTAAGATGTTTAGTGAGATAGAGAGTTTTCAATTCAAAGATGTATAACATCGATTTGTAGAAAATGCTATATTTTTCACAAATAAAAATCTGCACACATGTCAGCGTACAAATTAATGAATAGTAAAAATCTACCCAATATAAACTTCGTCGTCGCGTATAGCATAAAGTAATGAATTGAGCATTTAAAATTAAACGATGGTGATGGGATGCATAAAAATTAAATAACTAAAGAAAGAAACAAAGTTGGAAAGTTGAATTTTATCAAGAAGAAGATATGTATTGTGATTTGTGACACATCAAAATAAATAAATGAAAAAAAGAAAAAAAAAATTAAATTTCATGACAGCGAAATCATTTATTAAAAAAAAAATGGACAAATAAATATGAACAAGAAAAGTATAATTACAATTGAAGCATTATCTCTTCACTGCCCCCACCAATCAAATCTCTCCTCACCTCTCATTCTTCTCTTCCTCCACACCCCATATACCATTAACCAAAACTAAAAAAAAAAAAAAAAAAAAGTCCTATTTCTCCACTTAAGATATATATATATATAACATTATACATGTATATATCAAAATAAAAAAAAATAAAAAAAATATCTACTCACCATGGAGAAAAAATCTCTTCCTCTCCATTGGGATATTATTATCATAACCAATGATTTTTTATTTTTTTTTAATTATTAATATTATTATTTTTTTTCTAAGTCAAGGGTGTAAGAAGAAACTTTGTTGGGTAAGGGGGTGGGATTGTCTTTGGCCTTTGAGCTTTCAAGATTTTCCTTTTTCTACAGTGACCATCCCTACAATTCCCTACAATTCGATACTGGAATCGGTAGAATCGATAGGAAAACACGTCTCCTCACCACCCGTGCTCCATAGGAAATGTGCGTAGTTAGCAGCGTAATACGAATTGTTCCGTTCGGCGGAAATGGCTTCCAAATAAGTCTCTTCAGCTGCCCAAAGATCTTTTCTCACGAGCCACAAAAAGTTTGCGTATTTGTTCAAAGCTTCTCCGTCTTTCGGCTCCACTTTCGTCGCCCTCTTAAAATAGTCCTCCGCTCTGTTTTTTCAACCAAACAAACACACAACGTGTTAACAAAGTGAACGAACAACTATTATACGAAAACTTTCTCGATTGTTTTGCACATGTATAAAACATGACCCCATATCGTTTAATTTTTGACCGACTATCTAGATTAATCAAAGGGTCCTTTCGATCCAACAAAGACGTGACACTCGATTGATGCAACAACTCCCGTTTAGCTAATTATCGAACTTTTTTTTTCTTTTCAATCTAATGTGTGAGGACAAGCAAGTACAGCCATTTAGGGAATTGCCAAGGCTCGATGATATTTTTCGTTAGTGGGATATTAACATGTAGTCCCGGGATGTTTTCGGTTCACTGATATCATTGTCATGAAATATAGAGAGAGAAAATGCACCACACATTGAGCTTTCATAATTCCTATAGCAAAACACAATTTCCCCACAAAATATCACATTCCATTATACTCAACTAAAACAAGTTTTTTAAGGAACTACAGTTAAACCTGTGTATAAACTTGGAACTACGAAAAACTCTATTAATTTAGTGAAATATTAAATTATCAAATTAATAATTTAGAACGTTGTCAGTTGTCACTGAGTCGGGACCAGGAATTATTATTATTATTAATTTATAGAATATTAATCTATCGAGGTTCTACGGGTATGATAATATCTCAATTTACACAACTAAAAACTACGGAAATATTCCGATCGATCTAAAATGTCAAAACTAAACAAAAGTAAAATTATACCAAGGTAAAAAAAAGTAAAAATAAAAAATTACCTGTCGAAATCATGGAGCACGAGGTAGAGAAATTGAGCATAATTTGCTAGCAAAAGAGGGTTGTTGGGCTCTTGAGCCAACTCCGATTGGTAAAGAAGCTCTGTTCGAAAGTGGTCCGAATAATCGTCATCTTGAATAATAGCATTGACCGGCGACACGAATCTTTGCATCGTTTCATGATCCAACGCTTCGTCCCTCGATTCCGCCTCCATTTTCGAAGCCTCGTCCACCATCGAGTTCCACAAATCCGTCTCCTCGTCGACCGAAACTTGTCTAGAAACCAACTCTTCTCCACCACTAGTTTTCGAAGGATTCAAAATCGAGGACGATAGCGCCCCGTTCGGGTTCGTAGTACCGTCTCCGTCCGTGCCGCTAGCAACCGTCGGATATTTTCCTCCGCCACCGCTGTTTCCTCCCACCGAAATTTCATCCTCGTTCGAATTCGAATTCAAAGACAATTTCAGTGTCCTAACAATTGACGAGTCGAATTTATGATGATTCTTGGACGACGGGGTCTGATCTTCCACCATTATTGAAACTTCTTCGACCGAATACGTTTGTACCGGTGGCGCAACGGCGGCGAATGCTGAATTGCTCGATATCGAGTGGACGCTGTAGTTAGCGAGGAGTATCATTACGTAAACCATAAGAGTCGGAGTGTGGGAGAATATTTTCTGAAACAACCAGACGAACGAAGCCTGCATTTCTTTCTGAACGCTCGCGAGAATTCCTTGTAAATCTTCGTAGAAGAGAACCTCCCTCATCTGAAGAGTGAAGCTATGGAGTTCTTGGATTATGAACACCATCGACGAAAACGCCTTCTTCACCGAGCAGCAAGCCGATTCGCCGGCTTCCGCGAAACCCGACTGCCATTGCTTCTTTCTTTTTATGATCCTGAGCGATAACGGGATGTCGAAGCTGTTCGCCCTCCACTCGATATTCGACGGGGTTATTTCGTCTCGGTCGGGGAAATCGGGACACGGTTTTAAGGGATCGAATGCGTCGGGTTTTTCCATGAACATGTCATTGTCGCTGAGTTGAAATCTGAGGGCTAATTCTTGAATCTGTTTGGAGAATTCTTCGTCGGAGGAGAAGGAATTATCCAAGCTGGCGGAGATGGCTCTTCTGATTGTTCGGACACGTGTTGTTTTGCTGCTGCCGCCACCGCCGCAGGATTGGGACCTGTGTAGGAGTTTTGAGGAAAGGGCGGCGGACCTCTCCACGTACTGGCAGAACAGAGCTCCGTCGCCGCCGGCGGTGAGGAAGCCACGGCGGTTGGAGGAAACGGCGGAGGGAAGTGACTGAGAAGAAGATGGTGAGTGGGGGACGGAAGGTTGTGACCAATGTAAAGAAGCTGCGGCCACTTTCACACCCATTTTTCGAAAATGTAGAGAGAGAAAGAAGAGAGAGAGAGGGGGATCTGGGTATGGAAAAAGCTTCTTAGCCTTTTCTGCAAATATAATTAAGAGAAAGAGAGGCGAAAGTTAAGCGAGGAAAAACACATGGTAATTGCTAATAAATAAAATAAATGAAACAAAATTCACGGCCAAGCCAGTGGTTTTAATCATTACACTCCTTGCATTAAAACCGGATCAAGAAATAAGAAAAAAAAACCGAGTCCAAGATAAATTAATATTATTAAAGTGGGAGAAAGAACTAACCGGAAGGAAATCCCGGCCGGCGAGATCTCCGGCGCTCTTTAACTGAGAAAAGAACGCGTAAGTAACTAGTAGTGCGAGCACCGTAGCTTCACTTATCAAGAGATATGAGCAGGGGGTGATGTCTTTAAATAACATTTTAAAAAATAAAAAATAAAAAATGATAATTAAGAATAATTAATAATTAATAATAATAATAATAATAATAATAATAATAATAATAATAATAATAATAATAATAATAATAATAATAATAATAATAAGGGTAAATTACAAACACCCCCCTGATGTATGGTCAATTACAAAAACACCCCTCTTGTTTGAATAATTACAACCACCCCTCAACTCATCAAATTTAGTGGAATCTTCGAGATTATATGGAATATTATCACTTTTGTACCCGTTTTATCCCATTCAAACTCTAAATTATGAAGCAAGATGATCATAATATGTGATTTTTAGCTTGTATATATCAGTTTGTGGTGCATCGGAAACTGTATTTTTTACACAAAAAGAGTACAAACTAGATCACATTTCACGGAATCTAGATGACTATGTTGAATTTGGCACTATAGAGGTGGAGGTCTAAGAAAAAATCATAGTTGAGGGGGGTAGATGTAATTATCCAAACAAGAGGGGGAGTTTTGTAATTTGACCATACCTCGGGGGGTGTTTGTAATTTACCCTAATAATAATAATAAAAATAACGTTGGAAATAAATGATAGGAAAAAAATCTTGGGACAGTCCAAAAAAAATTAAAAAAATGGAGTGAAGGTACACACACAGAAGAATCAAAGCGTGTATCGTATAGCAATAACTGCTAATTCATTGGTGGGGCCGTACTTGTGATTTTTTTCTCGTTTAGGGTTCTAGATATTTCTTTTTACTACTACTTTGCTTTAAGTGGTGGTGGAGGATTATTATTAGCTCAATTACGGCGAGCCACTGAGGTAAGGTGAATTACGAAAAAATTCTTCATGGTTGAGTAATTACAATCACGTAGAATCTTGTAGATTTCGTTGTTTGTTCTCTAGTTTGTATTCACTTTGTGCAAAAATGCAGTTTTTGATGCACTATAATCTGATATTTACAAGCAAAGAGTCACATCTTATGATCATCTTGTTTCAAAATGTTGAGCTCGAATGGCGTAAAACGGTTACAAACTGAAGAATATTTCACGTGATCTAGTAGATTCTGCTTAATTAAATTTCACAAGAATGAATGTGTACAAAGATTCATTTAAATAGTTAAATGGTGATTATAATTATCCAAAGGTAAAAGATTTTTTTCGATTTTAAATCAAAGTAATTTACCTTTTGTTTACTACTACAACTTTCAGTGGTGGTGGACAACTAATGATTATATGGAGAAATTTTTCCTTCTTTTACAATTTTATTTTATTTTTTTTCTTAATTAAAGTATAATAATAAAATAAATGAATACAATATATGAGTAAAGTCGGTGTGTGAAGAAGGTCCGAGTCACATGGCAATTCGTGAGGTCCACGCGGCTGTGTTCACGGGACAGTCCAATATTTCAAGCAATCAGCATATGCCAAGTGTTAATGCTCCACCACCCTTAATTAATGCAACCCATGGTAAAAATAATTTTTTTTTTATTATTTTTTTTTTTTAATTTCATCACATTATAAATGAATTAGCGGTTGCTACGGTAATGAATTTTCAATTGGGGAAATCGATCGTCAGTGGTCGGTCCCTTTCTTTCTCATTTCTGGAAAATCATTTGAAAGGGATATGAAAACGGATTTATTAGATTAAGGGCTCGCTATAAGGTTCTATCGATTAAATAGTAATAAAAAGTTGTGGCTCGTAATATGTTCGGTTTAGCAAGATTCACATTTTTTTAAACCCGTTATTAAATCAAATGGTCGCTATTAAATGCTACAAATTTCATTAAATTAACAGCATTCCTCCCCCTGAGATTAATTTAATAATGGGTACTAAATAAGTAAAAAACTATTTTATCCTTCAAACTACTTGTTAAAGGTTTTATAGACAAACCATATATAATACCAGATTTAATACAATATTTAATCTTATATACCGAACATCATACTAACTAAATAATTAAGGTGGTGTTTGCAAATGATTATTTAAAAGCAGAAGTTAGTGATTGTGAGTTAAGTCAGTTTTAAGCGCTTATTTCTAAAAGTTGGGGGTGTTTGCAATTGTTCCGGAAAATGAACTTAAATAGAAAAAGCAGGGTTATGAGTGCTTTTAAAAAAATAGCTTAAAGCAGATTATTTTAAGAGAAGCAAAAGCAAAAGTTGATTTTGCAAACACATGAAAATAGATTATGAGCAAAAAAAAAACTCATAATCACTTTCAAAAAGCTTTTGCAAACACTAAGTATTCAGTAGGGAATTAATTTAGTCTCATCTAATCTAAACTTATCCGATATAGGTAATTACCATACGATCTCTAAGGCTTTTGCTTGTTACTATTAGGTTAGATTGACTAAATCGTAAGGAGTAGTAAGATGTTTGGTTGATAGGATTCAACATTATTCAAGTTCGCTACTAAAGTAGAAGTCAACAACTAAGTGTTATTACGACATGAAATTAGCAACATCCCCATTCACCCTGCGATTAATTTTTTAGGGAGTGACTAAAATGAAAAATTACAATTTTATCGTTAAAATAACTTATTTTTGTTAAATAAAATATTTTATTAACAATTCACATATAATAACATAATCTAACACATTTAACACAACACGTAATCTAAAAAAAGCAAATATATTATTAACTAATTAATTAGTTAATCAATGGGGAATTAATTCAATCTAATCTAATCCAATCTACTCCTATATATTATATATATAAGTAAACGAGGCCTAATTTGTTAAGAGGTTCTAGATATTCGAACTCATTCTTTTTTCTCCGGTACGCATATATTTAAACTAGGGCTGTGCGTTGGTTGGTTTGGTTAAAAACCGGGCATAAAACCAACCCAACCCATCCAACCAACTTTGGCAAATATTGGAAACCGTTATCGACCCAACTTACATGGGTTGGGTGATGGTTGAAAACCAATTTAATGGGTTGGTTGGTGGTTTGGTTGATGGTTCATCCATCTAAATATTTTTTTAATTTTTTTTAATATTTTATTACTTGTTACAACGCTATATCTTTTATAAATTAAATGCGACTAGTTCAATAATATTCAAATAAAAGATTCAAAAAACATTACGGGCATATATATTGCAATTAAACATAAATGGTTCAACAAATAATAATCGTCCAAATATTTAGACTGTATATCTTAAAATTAAAATAGTTAAAATTAGATAATTGGGTTAGATTTATTGCTTTTAGGATTTTAGTCAATATTAAACAATTTAATAAATGTGATATAAAATAGAAATTTGAAATTAAAACTATTAAATATTTTAATGAAAATTAATAAATAATAAATTAATGAATAAAGTTGGTTGGCCGATATTAACCGACTAACCAACTTTTTAGCATATTAGAAACCATTATCGACCCAACTATACATGGGTTGGTTGACATTATCGACCCAACTTAAATGGGTCGGTTGATGGTTGATTAACCATCACAAATTGTGGGTCGAAAATGGGTTGGTTGATGGTTAAAACCGATCCATGCACAGCCCTAATTTAAACTGATATTAACATGAACTAATGGAGCCAAAATTTCATGTACGCAAAAGCCAAATGAATTAAAAACAATTTTAAGGAGAGACTCTTAATGTCATTATACACATTGTTTTTAACACTATATAAAATAATAGAGATTCAAAAAATATCGGGGGCTATGGCTCCCCTTTACCATATGATGCCTTCTTAAGAATTTAGGAGTCTAGTCCGTATGGGTATAACTCAACTGGTTTCGCGGTGGTAAGTTAGTGCAAGGTTCTAGGATCGAGTACTGGTAGCCGCAGTATGAGAATTACAACTCCAATGGGAGTTGGTTCCTTGTGAGCACCAGATCCAGGTTCGCTTCTCCAACAGACCGTTGAATCATCATGATTTACATTACTCCATCAAAAACTTGTTGGCCCAAGGAATGCAGGGCCCGAGGGCGAAGAATTTCTCCTTTTTTTGGTGCAAGAATTTAGAAGCCTAAGGTGAGCTTTAAAAACTACTCCGAAATCGAGCTCCTATGTATTTTTTTTCCATGAAAAAACTCATTTTGTTATTTTAATTCATAATACCAAAAACAATTCATCTTTGAAATATATCTAACTAACATGTAACTGTTATAAATATACTAAAGAAAATCAAGTAAAACAAGAATATGAGATATCAAATGTAAGGATAATAGAACCTTTTCTTCTTATTCTTTCTTGTTTATTCAAGTGTGTTTTAGATGCATTACAATGGCATCTATTTATAGTTCTCAAGTAGCATATTGAATACATGAAGTATTAATGAAGCCACTTAAACTCTTACGTTTTTGACATCCACACTAAATGTATAATGAATGCATTCATAACACTCCCCCTTGGATGTCAATCTTAATGGAATATGCCTCGTTAAAAACTTTGCCAGTAAAACCCAATGGGAAAAATCTGGACAAAGGAAAAAGAGTACACATCCATGTGAAGCTTGCGATCGTGAGACACTGCCTCGTTAAAACCTTGCCAGGAAAAACCCAGTGGGATAAAAACTTGGACGAAGGAAAAAGAGTACAGTGTGTGAGAGTTAATGATCACGCTCCCCCTGATGTCGGCAAGAGATCTTTAAGTCGACGCATTCCAATACTATGGACCATCTTCTTTAACGTTGTAGTTGGCAGTGCTTTAGTGAATAAATCTGCCAAGTTGTTGCATGACTGTATCTGATGAACGTCAATATCACCATTCTTTTGTAGCTCGTGAGTGTAGAAAAACTTGGGTGATATATGTTTTGTTCTATCACCTTTAATGTAGCCGTTTCTGATT